TTTGGATAATGAGACACGAGTATGTTGGCTACTTGAGACATGGGTGGACAGTCACTATAGTTTCTAGCTCTTACAGATTCAGTTGTGTTCTCTCAAAGCTCACATGTTGAAGCCTTAAACTCTATGACCTTAGAATATGTCTATTTGGAAATCAGACTTTTAAAGAAGTAACTAGAGAGAGCACACTAACCAGAAATACTCAACGTCTCCAATTTAAAGGAGGAGGAGTTTATTTTGGATCCTCGTTTCTGAGAGTTGAGTCTGTAGTCAGCTGGCTTCTAGCAGAAACAGCATAGCAAACAGGGTGGCAGCAAATAATTTGAGTGAGTTCATTCTGCAGTTGGCATAGTGGAAAAGCATGACAGAAGAAAGCTGCTGGTTCTGTGATAACCAGCAAGCAGGGAGGTCAGAGGAGCCATAAAGAAGAATGCATAATTGTGGGTCTCCCTCAAGTGAACTGACATGTCCAACCAGCCCACTTCAGAGCACGCCGCCTGTTCTGAATGCGTGAGTGGGCTAATTCAGTGGTGATGGTAGAGCCCCCACGACCCAGCTTCCTTCCAGGAGTCCCACCTCTGAGGAACAAAATTCTCAGGGACAAACAATAATGCACAATAAAGAAAGGCCAGTCTATCTAGCAGCTGTTCATAAGGAATCTAGAAATCCACATGCAAAAGAATAAAGTTGTATCAATCACGTTATACAAAAAGAAACTCAAAGATTTGAATGAAATTTGAAAGAGCTTATAGACATGTGTTGAAATACACTGAAGATGATAAAGCTACTAGAATAGAAAGCAGGAACATGCTCCATTAGGTTACTTGGGCAAAGTTTTGGATTTGTTGTTGTTATTGCTGTTTTAATAAGACTTAAAAAGCACACACAACAAAGGCAAAAACAGATGTTGTTACACTAACCTAAGAGGTTTCTGCACAACAGAGAAGTCTAATCAATAGACAACCTTTTCAGTGGGAGAAAAAATTGCGAGCTGGCTGTATGACATGCAGTTAATATCCAAAATATAAACTCTAGTCAATGAAATAATCAATAGTAAAAATAAATAATTCAGTTAAAAACAGATGAATAATCTTAATCAAAATTGTTAAAAGAGGACATGTAAAGAGCCAGTAAGGATACAAAAAATGTCCAATACAGCTATTCATTAAAGAAAGGCAATTGAAAACTACAGCAGAGTGTATCACTCCCCCCAAATAGAATGATGACTATGAAAAAGACAGAAACAGATGTTACCGTGCATTTGCAGAAAAGGAAACTGTCATGCCTGGATGTTCAGAGTGCAAGCTAGAATAATCATTTGTGAAAATAGCAAGGAGTTTTCCTTAAAATTAAAAATAGAATTATGCTTTCATCCAGCTACCCCAGAGTAGGGTATTTATCTGAAAGGAAATCAAGATGTGGAAAAGCTGCCTGCACCCTCAGGTTTACTGCAGGCCTGTTCACAAGAGCCAAGCTATGGAACCAATTGACGAGCCCTTCAAAGACAAAGGGGTAGAGCGCAGTGCAGAACACCATGGACTCAGTCACAAAAGCCTTAAATCCCGTCATTTGTTTCACCATGGATGAAACTGGAGGATATTTATGCTAAGTGAAATAACCCAGGTACAGAGAGAGTGGTACCATAATCTCTCACTTTTGTGGAACCTAAACAAACTGATTTCATAGAGGAGGAAATGGAGCAAAGATTACCAGAGGCTGCAAAGAGCACAGGGGAGGTAAATAGAGAGGTGAGTCACTGGGCTCAAACTGAGAATCAGAGAGGAATGATGTGCTCTGTGTTTGGCTACACAGTAGACAGACTATGGCCAGCTTCTGGTATTGAATTTTCAAGGTTGTGAGAGAGAACTTGCACAGTCTTATTGTAAAAAAATGGTATCTCTGAGATATGATGGACATGCTACACAGCATATGAATACATGACACATACATGTATCTAAACATGATACTGTACTCCATATACATGTACAAGTATTATTATTCATTTAAAAATGAAAAGAGGATCGCTACTAGTTATTATATAGAGTTTAATAACGTCATTTGCAGAAACAATTTTATCTTAATGCTGTGGTAGACAACTGGATGCAGGAGATGAAACAAGAAATATTAATAAGTAGATGTTAGAATCGTTAGCTAGGTGGATGGGTAGACAAATAGAATATAAATGCATTATTTTATGTTTTAAAGTCTGCCTCAACAGTCATAGATAATCACTAGGGGAAGGAGCAAAGTCCATTGATTTTATATGCTTTGTACACATTTGATTTGATGGAGTGAGGAAAGCTGGAACCTGGAGGGGTCTGTTTATCAAACACTGCAGAAGCAGGAAGAGGGGGGAGCCAAGCAAATGTGACATCTGGATGACAAAGGAGATAAGATGGAGAAATGGTAGAGAATTTGTCATTTAGTTAGGTAAGGATGACCTGTCCTCTGAATACTCTCAGAGATTTTTCTCCCAACATTGTCCCTCGGAAGGGGTTTGTCGCCCTATAGCTGACTCACTGCAGTGTGTCCCATATAATGGTATGGACTTTTGAGGAGGACACACTCATTGGAAACAACCATAGGAAATGGTTAACATTGTGGCTTATCAAGAGATTCCTTTATAGAAATGAAAGGAAAAAAGGAAGCAACGTCATCCATCCCAGAATAAGTTATCATCCCTGCGAGTGCTGCCTCTAAATGATAAGATGACATCTTTCACAGTCTTTTTGAAAATTACAGAAATCAATACTGGGCTTAGTAGTTACAGAGATGTGATTTTTAAAAATACCCTTAGTGTAAATGAGGAAAGCAATGATTTTGATATTGTGTAATTTATACTTGTGATTCACATCAAACATCTGACCACAGTATCTATCATGCAAGTGCTTAATGTGACCTGTTAATCACATAACTTAGGAGGAAAAAATTGGAGTTACTCATAAAAAAATAGGTGATTCAAAAATTTCTAACACTGTCTAAGAATGGCTATCAGAAATTTATGAAATACTTCAGAGTAAGTCCATAAATTCCAAATAAAATGTAAGTTTGCATTATTGTTACTACTATTATTAGCTTTCCATAAACATAGTAAATTACTTTTATTCCTTAGTTCATGTTTTATATTCTCACTGACCTTAACGTAGTCCTTCTCTTTTCTATATATTTGGATTTTTTCTCCATTCTTACTTCTCACTCTTCTCTCATATTATTTATTATGTGATTTTGTATTATTTATTGTAAATAGGTATAGAAACTGTATCAGTCAATAAAATGGTATCTGCAACCATTTTTATGTCATTGATGACAATAAAACCTTGAATGTTGTACTTATACAGGGCATTTGTCCTTGATTGGCAAAGGAGGACGCTACCTTTAGTTCAAAATTCCTATATTTGACATGTATGATAATTTTAAAAACCAGCTACTATTTTTCTCTTTTTTAGAAAAGCTTATTCAAGAAATAATAACATAACTCAAATGTTAAATAATCAAAATGTATTTGGCAACTCAAAAAAATTAGGAGTGTTACAGACCTATGACCAAAAGTTCTTCCCAAACTATCTACCTCCTAGTGAATATGTTTGCTAATTTAGAAAATTCTAAATAGCTCAATCCTCTATGAAATTTTAAACCTTTTCTCTTGCTGCCATTTTAGACTTCTATTATTGAGAAAATGTCTGGCTGATTTAAACAAGCATGTTATGTGAAATTTTGGACGCTTCTCTTAATAGAACCCAAAACCTTTCATATAGATTCACCCCTCATTGCCCACAGTAATGTGAAATGCTATGGTGCAGGCAGATATTTATTATTTTTATTTGAAAAGGCATCAGAGTAGGGCCATTTCTCAATGGAGCAGGGAAATAAAAGTACTCTGAATTTCAGTTCCTTCTAGAGCACCATGTAATGAGCTCTTAGAAGACATCTCAGAGCTGCAATTCAAAATCCTGTTTAATCAGCTGTGGCAAGCCCTGCACTGTCCCTGTGGACCTCGGAACGGAATCAGGGCCCCTCCTCCTCCATCCAGTGCATCGCCGGGAACGGCTTTCTGGTCAGGGTTCTCCATGGAAGGCCACCAAGCGCAGACAGCTACAAAGCTGGGTCTCTGCATGTCTGCACAGAGCAAACAGCAGAACACAAATCTTCAGCTTTGCTTTATGAATGTCTTTATTTACAATGCTGGAGTGGATTTTTAAAAAATGAGGGACTGTAGCATTTGCATTGGGTCTGCCACTAACAGCTCTGATTTTGACTCTTGCCCTGTGAATGATCTTGCATTCCTAAATTTTTCTATTTCTACAAGGTTACCATCAATGTCAGAAAATGTAAACTTCCAAAATGCGTTGTATGGGATTTAGCAGGCTTGGTGGGAGGAAGGAATGTCCCTTAAAGAAAAGGGAATGCAACATTCATCCAAACCAAGCTTATTGATTGATTGCTCAAAGGAAACTATACTTTTCTAGGTAATTCAGCTGAATTTTAACATAAGTGTTCCTGCTAACCTTTTATTTTTCTTTGACCAAGAACCTTCCCCAGCTCAGCTTATGGTGTATGCAACACATCCTTCCAGAAGTAGGATGTCTTTGTTGACTGCATTCGGGGCCCCAGAAAGTAGGCAATCCCCCGAGATGGATAGAAATCTCCCAATTTTGACAATGATCCTTCTCTGTTCGGGAATGGTAAAGCTCAAACTACAAAATAAGATGCTGACAGGAGGGGCTCTGTTTGGTTATGTGGAATGTAACTGACTTCAGCAAGTCTGCCTAGCTGAGGAAAATAACACGGGAATTTATATTTATGTCAGACTTGCAGCTGATGAGTAAGGTTCGTGTAAAGGTTACTCCTAAAGAAATGTCAATCATCCTTACTCTGTACTCCAGCGAGTTCTGCTTCTTCCAAATACTGCCCTCTAGAACAATCAAATGGTGCTAAAATAAGTACGATGTGATTTAACAGCCCTTCTCCTGTGGCATGGAGATTATGTATCTCTTCTCTTACAGCTCTCTGCAGTAGGAGGACAGTTGACATTTACCATCTCTTACGACCTTGAAGAGGAAGAGGAAGATACGGAAAATGCCCTTCAGCTGATGGTGATCTTAGAGGTAGAGCATGGAGCACATCACAGTCACCTTATTGCAGTTTTATATCATTTAAGGGTTCTCATGCCATTTATTAAGTGGGTGGTTGGACAATAATCTATGTACTAAAAAAAGAAAATATTCCTTAGAATCTCTTAAAACATGGTTGTGCTCCACTCTTGGTTATATCTAGAAAGCTATGAATATTAATTAGCTTCTAATGATAAAGAAAGGCCGTGTGTAGGCCTGAATTTAAAGTTATTTCATGATGATCGTGTCTCCAAGAAGTAACATGAAATATATGAGCGAATGCTGATTTAGAGAGTTGTACTTTTTCCTGTCTCCCTTTGTTCCCATGTAGCTTTTATTGTCTACTTCTTTGGCAGAAGTAGATCAGAAATGGAACTCATTCTTTTATTTGTATCTTGACATCAGAGTTCTAATTTAGCTAAGGAAGATGTTCAGGACAAACTGTGTTTTGGATTTCGAAAGTCCTGGAAGTCCAAAGCCATCTCAGAGGCTTTCTCCCATTCTTCCTTATGCCTTTTCTTTCCCGTGTTGCATATTGTCCCCGGAAGGTCACATATGTTCACATGCACATGCATGCATGCATGTGTGAAATGTTTACTTAGCACGAGGCTCTTGTCCTTTGTCTGGAGCTTCTTCTTCTTCTTCTTCTTCTTCTTCTTCTTCTTCTTCTTCTTCTTCTTCTTCTTCTTCTTCTTCTTCTTCTTCTTTTGTATTTACTACAGGGTCTACAGGGTCTCACTACAGAGACTGGACTTGTAGTGATCCACCTGTGTTCAGCCTCCCAAGAGCTGGGATTACAGGAGTATGCCACCATGCCCAATCTCAATCACAGTATCAGTGTGCCCCAGGGGCAGGGCCAGCATGGCACACAGGGGATCGAACCCTGACTGCTGCATCTGCCTAAGCAGATACTTTAATTTGCTAAGATATTTGGCCACCCTGGAACCTTTCTTTAAAAAAAAAATATTTTATTTTGATGTCTGGACCATTTCATGAACACAAACCCACAACACAATCCTTTCTCAAAATGAATATTTTCCAGAATTGTATGAGTCAGTCTGGAATAGACAGATATAGATACCAATTCAGAGATGCATGTACATATTCACACATATATACACATATATGTATGTACATATATATCTACATTTATATCTTGAGAAATTATAAATCACTAATATGAATTACCTAAGAATCTCAAATGCTGTAGCTCAATCTCTAAGCCCTTTATGATACCATTGTCCCATTGTAAACATTAAATTACTGGCATTTTTCTTGTTTTTTGCTCCATATATAGTCCTTCAAAATCATAGCTTAATTAAATTTTCCTTCCCTATTGTCTATTAAAACCCACAGCTGTGACAAAATAATTGAAATTTATAATTTCTCATATGTATGTCAACTTAATCACATGTTTGTATATGTGCTGCCAAGTAGGGACAGCTGTAGTTAATGTGAGAAGCAATCTCATTCAAAACCAAGAACCTGACGCTTTGTAGTACATCTGCAGAGCCGGCCTGTAGACGAGGCTGTGCTCCCTTCACGTATGCCAGAAATATGCTGGGTGACTGGAATGGAAATGAAAAGCCTCCCGCGGAGCCCACTGGGTGGAAAACCACATACAGACTCAGATTGTTCATTCTCTCCATTCCATTCCATACATTCCATATGTTCCATTGCATTTCTTCCCAGCCCAGCCCAGCCCATCTCATCCCATCCCTTCCAGTCCATCCCATCTCACCCATCCCATCCCATCCCATCCCATCCCACCCCATCTCACCCCATCCCATCCCACCCCACCCCACCCCATCCCATCCTATTCCATCCAACGCCATCTCACCCCATCCCATCCCACCCCATCGCACCCCATCCCATCCCACCCCACCCCACCCCACCCCACCCCACCCCATCCCATCCCACCCCACCCCACCCCATCCCACCCCACCCCACCCCACCCCACCCCATCCTTTCCTATCCCATACCTTCCCTTCTCTTTCTATTCCATTCTATTTCCCTTGCGTGGCTCTGCAGTTCAGCCTTACACTCTTTCTTCCCTTTAGGGAAATGGCTTGCGAATCAGCACAGCCCAAGAGGAGGTGTACCTACAACCATCTGAAGAATATCTCAACGTCTTACCACTTAAAGAAGACTCATTTACTATCCATGGCACAAATTTCCCAGTCAGTAGAAAAGACTTCATGACAGTGCTGGCAAACCTGAGGAGAGTCCTCATTCAGATCACTTACAGCTTTGGGATGGATGCCATCTTCAGGTAACGTTGGGAACTGCACCTGCCCGTGTCCTCTCCCTTAACTTGGGGGGAACAATGCCAGTGCAGAAGAGGGAATGTAAAGGCTCTAGGTGCATGGCTTCAGATGGAAAATTACAGAAGCACTGGTTTTCTGGAAAGTTTTTTAATTAAACCTTTCAAAATGTTAAATACTCAGAATAAATATGCATGAGATCTTATTATTCTTAATAATTCCTTTGCAGTTCTGTGAAAACATGGGCTAAATAATGATTCTCACACTGAGAAATGCTATCCTGGAAAATAATTTTTTTTTTTATAATGGCTCAGATAGTGGAAAATTGAAGAGATATAATTTCAGGGTAGTTGTATTCAGAAATTTGTATGTAAAATATGTTCTCTCGGGGCCAGGGAGATAGCTCAGTGGACTAAGCACCTGCCTGGCAAGAGCTAGGACCACGTTTGATCCCTGGTACCATATGCTGGCCCTGCCCCAGGCCCACTGAGCCGGCCACCCAAACCAGGCACGGTGGTGCACCCCTGTAATCCCAGCACTGGGGAGGCTGAAACAGGAGGATCACTACGAGTACGGGCTGCATAGCAAGACCCTGCACCAAATTAAAAAACAATTTAAAAATAAATAAAATATTTTCTCTCATTAATTAGTTTCTGGCTTAAAATATAGTATGCAGGTTGCAATAAGTATTATAAGCCTCATGATTTAAATAATCACACAGCACTTTACAAAATGCTGTGAGACTGTGATGGCTAAATGATGAAAAGAAAAACTGGACCTTGAAACCCAAACTGGACTTTGAAACTCTATCGCTTATTTCTTGTGTAACCTCTGGCAGGTGATGGGTGGGTGTGGAAGTTTTAAGTATAATGTACAGTAATAACACCTACTTTCCAGGCTTGTTGTAAGAAGTATAAGTAACAATTATGTAATATACTCATTACCTACAACACTTTTAAAGGTTAGCTTCTTCTGTACTATTTTTTCACTTAAGAGAGAATTCTCTGACTTGAACCACACTTGTCCATAAAAGACAAGCTAAAATTTTCAGTTCTAACAATGATATTTTATCAGACCAAATACTAATTCTATATCTGACTGAATTATTTTCCATCTCTTTATATGCAAATGATAAATAAGAAAAGATGCAACTTCCTTTTTAAATAATATGAAGTTAGATAGTCAAGTGTTTGATCCCATGTGGACATTAATATGCACTCAATCGAAGCAATTATCTCTATTGTTGATTATTTTTCTTGCAGATGCCCCATTGTTTGCTTGTCCTACCTAGTTTATCTTTCACTTGTAATATTTTAACAAAGTACAATTACCATTACTGTTTCCCAGAGGAAGGGACTGCAGATTCATAAGCAAAATCATTGCCAAATAACACACCTCTTTTGCACGGCCAGGTCTGCTAGAAGCTGGGTTAAAGTGCTACAGAGATGAGAAACAGCACTTAGGAAGTAATTATGTTTTTTCCATTTAGTAAATAGATTGTCATGATGTTTCCACTACACAAAGAGGTGAGTCCTCTAGCTTTCAAAGTGAATGACAACCAGATTGACTAAATGTGGCCAGGGGGCTTAGTTCTTTTTGTCAGGATTGCTTCTCAAAGTAGTTAATCCAAAGACACTTCCCCTTGATTTATCTCAAACAATCTCAGTGTCTGCTCCTCTTAAAGTCATTGGCTTTATTGGAAGCCTTCTGAAATTTTCCCATACGTGAGAGATGCATCCACAGATCTAGATATGTGAGCAGAACAGATGCAGGAGGTGGCCTAGGTAGGTGGCTGCTTTCTGCCACCTACATCACTAAAGCACTGTGGTTCAAGAAGTGAAAGACAGTGTCGGATTGGAAGCTTTGGTCCACGTCAGGTGAGCTGGAAAGCAGCAGGAGACCTGAGCCGGTGAGCTTGTTATGTTTCATTTGTCTCTCATCTTCTAGTAGATGGAGTCATATTTGTAAAACGTCACTTGAATTGATTTCAGCTTTCTCTTGCACAGTAGGCTCTTGACTTGGTGTACTGTCTGTGTGCAAACACTAGTAAATTGAAGCCATCACAACAAAAAATCATGTTTATCTTTATTTAGGGGCAATTTACTTCCATCATTGTTCTCTCAGGAAATGCAGCGAGGAGCTTTCCCTGTCCTGTAGGTAGGTAGATTTGTGAAGGAGAAAAAAAATTGGGTTGCAGGTCAAGGCTTTTGATTTTTTTTTTCTCCAACTCAGCTACTTAAGTAGTTGTAAATGTAAATATGGCTTTGACCTCTTTGTAGCTCGGTAACTTCTCTAAAATAAGGATCACATTTGCCCCACCAGTTTTGACAGGTCATGGAAGAACTGAGTTCACTGTTAAGCACTGCAAATCACAAATTCGCAAGCAAATCTGAAGTGTTTCTATCTGTGCTATCTCCCATCAAGGGCTATTTATCCGAGTAATGTAATTCTTGGAGACATCTAGAATTGGTCATACATTAGTATTTGCACAATTCTGACAGTTCTTCTGACATTACTTTCCAGAATACAGAAAGATCCATTTCATAAAATTAATTTATTTCCTTCCCAGTATCTCTAGTAAGAAATAGAAAGAATGTTTATTCTTTTTTGAAACAATATAAATCAACCTAACCTAACTCTGTAAGCATGTTTCCATTCTGCAGTAGATATTATGCTAGTTCACCAAATTTCCAGTCTCTTCCTTTGAAACTATTCCCTCTTTCAACTTTCAAGGATAAATGTGACCTTCCCTGTGGCTTGCTTACCCAATGAAATGAGCACAGAAGGGCCTTCTATGCTGTTTTTGCTAGGGAGGAACATTAAAATTTGCTAGTGCATGACACTCTGGAGCTTATTGACCAACTAGACGATCAAATAACCTGGAACACTGATGGCTTCTGGAGGCCAGCTCCCCTGGCTGTTTTGATCTTCTGGTTGCTGGACACAGGATTATGTCGGAAAGTCCTCTACAGACCTGAACTACCACTGGGAATCTGGAGTTAATATCACAGCATAATTGAACTCGTCATATCTTTATCATTCCATGCTTCAAGTCTGTATTGCTTGAAAACACGTAATGTCTTTAAGGCAAAGTCTTTTCACATGACTTTTAGAGTAACTTTAGGGCTTAATATTGAAAACTGATAGAATTTATATCACAAACAATATAGAAAAATTCTTGTGAACAAAAGCAACATGGATTATAGAAATAATATTTATAGGTGTATAGTGTGCTTTTACCTTTAAAATTAATGATCCAGACATCTACATTTTAAAGAATTTCTGCTGAGAAGGACCCTATGGTTTAAGAGATATGTGCACCTCGCTTGGTATTGAGCAGCAGATGAGTGAAACAGCCCTCCTCAAGTCTCCCCACTATCTTCCATGACTTGCCAATATTGTCCAGGAAATATTGGATGCATCCCATCTGCAAACATTTACTGAATATTTCCCATGTGTATCTGTGTAAATCTCAGTCCTCTCTTCTGTAAAATGGCAGGAAAATAACATCGAACTCTCAAGATTAAACGAGATGTGAGAAAAGTGTCTACAGTAGTGGTCACACCCAACCTGCTGCCTACTATGTGCTGAGAGCAGTGGAAAGGACCAAGGCCATCCCTGGTTTTGGAGTCATACTTTGGCTTGAGTGAGGATGCAGATTCAAAGTAAATTTTACTAGGGCCTGCCAAATAGCTCAGTGGATGAAAGCACCTGCAAGCAGGCACAGGATCCAGGAGCCCGGTGTTCAATCCCCGGGCCTGCTGTGCCGGCTCCACCCTCAGGGTGCACTGTGATGGCAATTGAGACTGGGTATGGAGGCACTCGCCTGTAATCCCAGCTCACGGGAGGCTGTAAACAGGCAGATCACTATAAGTCTGATCTAGTAGTGAGACCCTGAACACCCTACAGATCCTTCCCTCAAAAAAAAAAAAAAAAA